TTTTTTTTTTTTGAATGGGGAGAAGGGTTGGGCTTGATAAAAATGCTAAATAAGCAGATTGCTTTATTGTCTGTGCAGGATCCTCTCTCTTGCTTTGAGAGCACAACTGCTCTGCAGTGGAAAACAAGTGAACTTGGCATGCGCATAGCTTCTTACCTTCTTTTTTTCCATAAAGAAGAAAAATCTTTTCTTTATCAGCATGGAAACAAACTAGTGTTTATGTCTTAACATAACTTGGTGGGGGCCTGATCTGGGTGCCCAGAGGAGCAAGTGGTGGGGGAAAGGAAACCTAGAAGCTGAAGTTGTGAACCAAAGGGCATACATTGATAGGAACGTTAAGGTCACAAAAGAGCAACGAGGGAATAGGTCTGGTTTTCTTGGACTAGTGTTGGCATGGGTGAGGGTACATTCTGGGCATTTCCTGAATGGAGTGTGGGGGACGAGTCAGTCAAGGTGAAAAGAGGGATCATCTTGGGGATCTGCTTATTAGTTTCCTTCTTGCCTAGTCTTTACGGGAGACCTTCCTGAGTTGGTTTTGAAGGGTGTGAATCCTCAAACCCTTAGCCACAGTCTGAGTATCTTAGAAAAGGTGTTGCAAGGTGTCCTTGTGCCAGGCATCCTTACAACTGAATCAGAACTGTTGACTTGTGTTAGAAGGCGGGAGAAGAATAGTAAAGCTTCCCCAAACTGGAAGGCACTTTAAGACTAGAAAACAGAACAGGGCACTCCGTACAGTTTATATGCCCAGTTTTATTCAGAGTTAACTTACTGCAAGGTATCAGGCAGGTGACTAATGATCCAGAAGGGGCACAGCTGCTATTTGCAAATTCTGAACCTAGGTCCGCAGATTTTATAGAGTGAGGGGACTCTCATGGGGCACGCTTGTGAGGTCTGAGCGTTCACGTGCATTTCAAAGGGTTTGCACGCACCTCATGGGCAGCTAACATTTACCAGACGTTGTGGCACCAGCTGTGCGTCAGGAAAGGAGAGAGACTGTGTGTTATCTCTAATGGATTCATGGGAAGCCAAAGCAAACCTCAAACATTCTGGCCTTGGCTGGCATTTCTGAGGTATGGATATTAATCTGTAAGGGGCCCGTAACATATAACCCCAAGACAGGTCAGCAAATAAGATGGAGGACCGAAGATGGAGTCGGTATTGTCAGCACCCCTACAAGATGCTTTCTGATTTGCATTCTAATTAGATTATTATATTAAAATATTGTACCAGGCAAATGCATTTCTCTTTTAGGTTTCTGAAACAAAATTCTTGTTCTCAAAGGAATAAGTTATTTCATACTAAGAAAATCAAGAAAAACACTGGGTTTGGATCTCTCCAGAGATAAAATGGTACTGTTTTATAATAAGAAAACAAAGAAGGAGGGGGGGGGTGGGGAGAATACGTTGAGTTTGCAGAGACCATGGTTTCTCAAGTTCATTTGCATTTGGGGGTGTCATAATCTGTGCCTTAAAATGTTTAGCTGCATGTCTGGCCTCTATCCACTAGATGTCAGTAGCATTCTTTTCCAGTTGTGACAACCAAAAATGCCTCTAGACATTGCCAAATGTCTTCTAGGGGCAGCATCTCTCCTTTCGTTGAGAACCAGTGGTCTACTCACAGGAGAGCCCTCTATCTCATTTTTATCCCACCCCAGCCCCCCAAAAAACCACCACCACCACCAAAACAAACCCAAAGGCTAGGATTTTTAATTTACAGATTTTAACAGCTACCCAAGCAAAACAAATGTCTCCTTTGTAAAGGTCAACTAGAGGCAAGTTTCCGGGTTTTTTTTCTTTTTCTTAATAATGAAAAAAGGTGTCTTGGAGCACCTGGGTGGCTCAGTTGTTAAGCGACTGCCTTTGTTTCCATCCTGGAGTCCTGGGGTTAAGTCCCCTTCCTGCTCCCTGCTTAGCAGGAAGCCTGCTTCTCCCTCTCCCACTCCCCCGCTCTCTCACTGTTTCTCTCTGTCAAATGAATAAATAAAATCTTTAAAAAAGAAAAAAAGGTGTCTCTGTGAACCTGCTCTACAGAGTGGGTTGACTGAGTAGCAGCTTCCTTATCATTTTCTCAGATCCTTACTCTCACTCTTCATGGTGGGGTGAGGCTCAGAGGAGCATTGGTAATGATTCATCTAAATAAATATTTCTTCTGTCCCTGTTGCTCTTCGTTCTACCCATCTGGGGTGCTTCTAAGGGGCAGAGGACTGGAGCACCCCGAGTTATGCATGTCGTTCCGTCCATCTTGCATGATGTCTCAGCAGCTGTCAGCGTTACAGGAAGTCCACCGAGATTTCTCAGAGACTTACGAGGAACACCCAGTGCTTGATTCTTCGTGGGAAATCAGTGTCAGTGGTGGGTGGCGTCTGTGTGGGACAGATTGTGCACGCACACCTAAATCTGTAATGGAGTGGGAGCGCTCCTTGTCAGTTGCAAACTCAACAGGAAGAAATCGATTTTGCACGTGGATACTCCTTCTGCTGCACCTTTACTATTTCAGCACGAGGAGGGAGCACTTCCCTTCTGCCCCAGCCAGAGCCCGGCCAGTGAGACACAGTTACAACCTGGGCAGTGAGAAGCCACTACAGTTCCAGCTCCCAGGTTACTCTGTGGACTTTGTGTTTCTAAAAGCCTTCTCAGCTTCCTCCTTTCCTCTGTAAAAGAGCATTCCTCTCCTTCGTTCTCTGCACTTGTCTATGGGTTTGCTATAGCTTGCTTGTCCCAGATTGTAATTCTCTGCTTTTCCCCTTCCCCGCCAAAGCCCCATTTTTTTTTAACTGGTGAAATGACTGGGAGTGTTATTCGTAAGGTTAGCCTATCTCCAACTAAGAAGTAGTGACTCCTTTTCCTCCCCAAATTCATCGGTACCTTCCTTCATTTTTCCAAAACCCTAGAGTGTTCCCCTCACCTCAGTTGGAAGCCTGTAATATTGCATTGTATAAATAATCCAGAAATCTTCAAAATTATGAGCTAAATAATTGACTTATGCCACACACACCTTTATTTCTACTAGACAAGCAATTAAAAACTTAGGTTTCTATTTAAAAAAAAAAAAAAACTTCTATGAAGTATGTTTTCATGTGGTTTTGGAATATAGGTGAGGTTGGTGGGGTTAGGTCTGGAGCCGACAACCAAGAAAGAGTTCTTGAACGTCTTTGGTGCAAAAGGGTGGTTTTATTAAAAGTACTGGGACAGGACCCGTGGACAGGAAGAGCTGCTGCCCCAGGGTTGCGAGGGGTGGCTGGTCATATACTTGGGAGTTGAGGGAGGTAAGGGAAAGGGAGGTTTTCAAAAGAACTTTCTTATGCTAAAGGCTCACAGGATACTGGAGGCCTTGCCATTGTCAAGTTCAGGTTGTTTTTCCCTGTAGCAAGGCATTAACATCAAGACAGTTGGGAGCTTCCTGGAAGAATGGCCCACATGTCCCACCCAGGAGTGGGGGGTGGGGGTTGCAGGGTATCCCCTGTGCTTTGTCCTTAGCTAGCCTTCTGTTCCCTCATCACTCTGGTGAACACTTGCTTTCCAAAACTTCTCCCTCCTCTCTCCCTCTGGCCTTTGTTGGAAAGAAAGTTTCATTGGAAAGTTTCAGTTGAAAGTTTCATTAATTCGTATTTGTATGTGAACCTGGTCTGGTGGTTGGGGCTCAGAAAATGGTCAATAAGGAAAAGAAACGCATTGGGTAACAGCCTCCTTCCGCATGGTGCTGGTCTGCCCGCGTCTTCCTGTCCTCAGGAGAACGGGCAGCGCTTGGTTTAGGTGAGAAGAGAGGACGGACTGAGCGCTCCTGGCTGGCAGAGCAGCAGGCCGGTGGCTCCCGTGCCAGGCGCTCTCTGAGCGGCCTCTGTCCCGCTTCAGTCTGGCCCCTGAGCCCCTGAGTGGCTCGTCCCGGGTGGCTCGTCCCTGAGACTTGGATTCCATCCCCTCGGCACACCGCAGCCCTGAACTAGCCTGGTGTGTGATCCCACAGAGCGCACGTCCTGACGATGGCCCCTGTGCTTTCTCCTAGTGCACCCGCTGTGGGAGACCGTGGACCTGGTCCCGGGGGGCGAGCGCCAGTCGCCCATCAACATCCGCTGGAGGGACAGCGTCTATGATCCCGGCTTAAAACCGCTCACCATCTCTTACGACCCGACCACCTGCCTCCACGTCTGGAATAACGGGTACTCTTTCCTGGTGGAATTTGAAGATTCTACAGATAAGTCAGGTGAGAGCCCGACCTGTGGTCTTGTCCGGCATTAAAGGGACAGCCTGGTGTCAGCATAGGCCACACCACGCTGCTCCCTCTTTAAGCAGTGGCGTGGACTCACTGCACTGAGCTTTTCTTTTTTTAACGTGGTAACGTACATGTTACACGAAATTTGTCATCTTAACCATCTGTAAGTATACAGTTCGGTAATCGGTCCAGTCACACTACTGTGCGACCCGCGCTCCCATTCGTCTCCATTACTCTCCGTTTGCAAAACTGAAACTGTGCCACATAAACAGTAAATCCCCATTTTCCCTTTCTCTCAGCTCCTGGCTATGACCATTTTACCTTCTGTCTGTGAATCGGACTACTGGGTACTTCATGTAAGTGGAATTACACAGTATTTGTCTTTTTATGACTGGCTGATTTCCCTGAGCATAATGTCAGCAGGGCTCATCCATACTGTAGCAGGTGGCCGAATTTCCTTCTTTGTGAGACGGAATGATACTCCCTTATATGGATAGACCACATTTTGTTTATCCATTCACCTGTCTGTGGGCACTGGTTGCAGCCACCTTTTGGCTATTGTGAATAATGCGGCTGTGAACATTGTCCATGTATCTGCCGTGGTGTTTCCCGTTGGTACATAACCCACTTGGAATTGCTGCATCATCATGAGAGGTTTTTGAGTATATGAACCATGTCCCTTTCATTTTCGTGTATGTTTCCTTCTGGTATACGTGGTATTTCCTATTAATAGATATGTATCGGGACACCTGGGTGGTTCAGGTGTCTGCCTTCAGCTCAGGTCATGATCCCAAGGTCCTGGGATCGAGTCCCACGTCCGGCTCCTTGCTCAGCGGGGAGCCTGCTTCTCCCTCTGCCTGCATCTCTCCCTGCTTGTGCTCTTTTTCTCACTGACAAATAAATAATAATAAAATCTTTTAAAAAAAATAGATATGTATCTATGTATAGATTCTGTATTTGAAATTTTATTTAGTTACGTATTTGAATTTACTTTTACTTGAAACTGTATATGTATTGATTGTTCATTTGAATTACTTTTATTTAAAATTTGTTCTCCGTGTGTTGAATGCGTGCTAACCTTCCTCTGCTTGTTGACATTACAAAGAGCTTCTGTATTAAATAGTAATACAAGTTAGCCAGATTTTATATGATAAGATTACAATGCAGAGCAAAAGGATAGGCAAGAAAAAGACATTTTTTTGTTTTTAGTCACCGAGTAACATGTATGTATTTTGTCAACCAGTGACTGATTTATTCATTCTGTATTTACCGAGTGCCAGCCATGTGCCAGGCCTTGCACTAAGTGCCAGGAATACTAACTAGATTCTTGACCTCCCAGCATTCAAAGTCTAGTGAGAGATGCATGCATGAAATTAGAAGTATAAAGCAAGTGTAATTTGAGAAAGGGTTTCTAAAAGAGCTGTGGGACCACAGAGGAGGGGATGATGTAGACTGCTCAGAGAAGTCTGATGATTTCAGCAAGGAGGGGTGTCAATTCAAAATGAACAAACCTTTTAGAATTTCTTTTGGGGCAGGGGGAAGGAAGAGAGTTTTATTCGAGCCCAAGTGAGGACAGCTGCCCAAGGTACACAGTCTCCAGAGTGCTTCCAGTAAAGGATCATTTGAGGTAGGGCTATATACATTTTATATACATAAGCGGTTGCAACATTTTTAAGAAGTTACAAATTATTAGGCAAAGGACTTTTAAGGAAGTTGCAGCCCTTATCTTAAGTTTCCAGTATATGCAGAGCTATATGATTTTAACTTCTTGAGAACCAAGGAAGTTTCTTACTTTCTGTTATCTTTTGTGTTCAGAATGCACCTTTTTGGTTATTTTCTTTAACAAAGCACATATAGCACATGCTGTGAGGTATTGGCTGAGTCATTTTGACCTTGGTAAATGTTAAAGCAGAGCTTCCCTGGGAGCCCAGGAGCAGGACCCACAAATATTAAAAGTTCAAAATTTCCTTTATCAGGGGACATTTATCTTGGCTATTGAAGGATGAGTCGGAGTTTTTCAAGAGGATTAGAAGGGCGTTGGAGATGGACGGAAAATCATGTGCAAAAGCAGATGTTCAGAAAATGGCCAAAAACGAAGTGGCCAGAGTGTAGAATGCATTTTGGGGAGAGACAGGAAGAATGATG